AATGCGCCTTGGTGTGGATCTGTTGTGATTTTGTACACTTGGCGTCCTGTAGGCTTATTGAATAGGGATTTCCAATTCATTCTTCATGTTTGGAAAGTTTTCTGATATTATTTCATTGAATAGATTGTTCATTCCTTTGGTTTGGACCTTTATGCCTTCCTCTATCCAAATAACTCTTAAATTTGGTCTTTTTATGCTATCCCATATTTCTTGAATGTTCTGCTCATGGTTTCTTACCATTATCGCTGTGTGATCTATGTTCTTTTCAAGATTATATATTTTATCTTCATTGTCTGATGTCCTATCTTCCAAGTGATCTACTCTGTTGGTGATGCTTTCATTTGAGCTTTTAATTTGGTCTATTGTTTCTTTCATTTTAAGGATTTCTGTTTGTTTGTTTAGAACCTCTAGCTCCCTGTTGAGGTGATCTTTTGCTTCTTGGATTTGTTTATGTAGCTCCTTGTCGAAGTGATCTTTCACTGTTTGTATTTGCTCTCTTATATCTTCCCCATGTATATCCTGAACTCTTTCTCTGTCATTTTTTTCTGCTGTGGCTGCCAATGATTCTAATGATGTGGTGTCTTGCTTGATTGTTTGTGGTACTTTCTTCTCTTTTCATTTTGCTCATGAATCTTCCTTTCCAGCTCTATGGGTCTTGGGTGTTATTGTTTTTACCCTAAAGGTTTGTAGTGCTCCGAGAGCCCTCCTTTGTGAGGAAGGACAATGTTAACAGATCCCAATATCAACAATATATCACCTATGAACAATTTGTTGTTATTAACATGTTTAGTTTGGTCTCAATGTACTGAAATGTTGGATTCAATTATAATCTAAAATATAATCAGTAGTTTTGTAAAAAGGTTTACAGTTTCTGACGATGGACAATGAACTGAGGGTGGGGCATAGGACGATATGGTGAGGAGGAAGGATGTGAGGACATAGAGGTAATATATCTTAGAAAATGTGAAAGAGAAATCTAATGAAGATAGTTAGTAGCAAGAGAATAGACAGGAAGTAATTTAGAGTAGACAAGTACATGGGAAGACCGTAGAGTACATTAAACAAACACATATATGTATTTAGAAAAATACAAGATGTTAAAATAGTAAAATTTGGAGGAGGAAAGAAAAACGAAAGAAAAAAAAGAGGAAAAACAAAGGCATATACAACACCTCTATATTATATTATTCGGAGGACTCAGTCCTCAAAATCCTATTTCATGCAAAGTTCTTGGTTTCACATGTGTTGGGGATGTGAGGGCCAGAGGATAGAGGGGTAGAAAAGAGAAAAAAAAATACTCGAAAGAAGAAACCAGGGTTGTTGCTAGTTTTAGAGACCTGTATCTTTTCTGTTTCTCTTCTCATCTAATAGGTGGCTTGTCTGTTTTAAGCTAGTGTCTCTGCCCTCAGGATGGTGTAGGTAACCAGAGTGGGAAGATTGGTCCTGGTGTAGGGCATCTGGAAGTGTGGAGTGCCACTTGCCAGTCCCTGCAGAGAGATTGCACATAACGGGTCACTCTTGGGACCGCTTGTCTGACTTGAGCGCCCGGTACTGTCTCCCTCTCTTGCCTGGAGATTTCCCAGCTCCTGGTCTCTCTGTTACACTCCAAACTTTAGTCCCATTCCCTCTCACTTATCAGTTCCCACCTGCGGGACCCTCACTCCCAGGCTCATACAAGGTGGGTGGCGCCCTGGTGGCACTGCACACCTGCCAACTGGAAGCTGTTTTTGTGTTGAGTAATCACTGTGCCGAGTTATCACCACTGGGGAGTGGGGGGCGGGGAGGGGTTGGATACCTGGCACCTGTCCAGATGGAGATCTGATCTGAGAGCTGTCCCCACCAAATATGGTGAGAAAGGTTATCCAAGATGGAGTCAGTTTACTTCCACCGCCAGGGTGTCTGGTGAGGTGGGGGGAGCTGGGTGATGGCATTGTGCTGTGGGTAGGTAGTAGCCGAGTGACCTGAGTGGGAGCAGAGCGTGGGCTTTGGGTTTTGGGAGCCAGGGGTCTGGAGTCCTGCTCAAACGCTGAGGCTCTGAGCCCTGTGTGAGAGTCACAGTGCTGGTGATTTCTGAGGAAATCAGCTGTATAGGGGTTCTTTTACACTCTCTGAGATGCAGTATTCCGACTAGGTGAGATCTGAGTCATGGAGCAATACAGGATGCTGCCTCCCTCCAGCCCCCCATCTTGGAATCCCAATATTGTTAACTAGTATTTCTCCTTTCCCTTTCCTCCTCCCTCACCCTCTACTGTTGGCTTATAAGCTGATTGAATACATTTTCTTAATCTCTGATACTGTTTTTTATTTCAAGCATTTCTCTTCTACTGAATTTATATTTTCATGCAACTTCTGTAATTCTCCATCTCTTCCTATATCTTTTCCATTAGATTCTTTCTTTTTTCTTTTCCCTTTAGGTACCGGGGATTGAATTCAGGGACACTCAACCACTGAGTCATATCCTCATCCCTGTTTAGTATTTTATTGAGAGACAGGGTCTCACTGAGTTGCTTAGCATCTTGACATTGCTGATGCTGGCTTTGAACTAGGGATCCTCCTGCCTCAGCCTCCCAAGCCACCGAGATTCACATGCGTGTGCCACTACACTTGGCTTCTATTAGATTCTTTAAAAAAAATACATAAATATACTATATATATACACACATACATATGTGTGTGTGTGTGTGTGTAGACACAATACCTTCATTTATTTATTTTTAAGTGGTGCTGAGAATCACACCCAGTGCTTTGCATGTGCTAGGCTATTGCTCTACCACTGAGCCACAACCTCAGCCTCTATTAGATTCTTCACATACTATTCATAGCTATTTTAATGTCCTTGTTTAATAGTTCTACCATTTGGATCATTTTAGCATGTGTCTTCATTGATTGTTTTATCTCTTGACAATAGATTAGGATTTTTTTAAGTGGCTTTTACATTTATTTCACATTTTCTATTGAATGTTAGAAATTATACATAGAAGAACAGTACACACTGAGTAAATGATAGTTACATGTGGAACTGGTCATGCTTTTTGTTAGGGTGACAGTATAAGACTGTAGGGGGTTGAGTCAATGCAGTAAGTGTGGTGTCAACTGGGAGGTGTCGTAAATACAGTTATTCCATACTAAATGAAAGTGGTATAAACATACATGGGAGAAAAGAAAGCCTCTTCAACAAATGGTGCTGGGAAAACTGGTAATCCATGTGTAGCAGAATGAAATTAAACCCCTCTCATCTTACACAAAAGTCAACTCAAGGTGGATCAAAGACCAAGACATTAGACCAGAAATCCTACATCTAATAGAAGAAAATATAGGCCCAACATTCCATCATGTCAGCTTCCTCAACAGGATTCCTAAACAGCAAGAATCAATAAATGGGATGTTATCAAACTAAAAAGCTTCTTCACAAAAAAGGAAATAAAATCATGAAGATAGAGCCCACAGAATGGGAGAAAATGTTTGCCACCTGCACCTCAGATATAGCATTAATCTCCAGAATACATAAAGAACTCAAAAAAACAAAACAATCAATAAATAAGCAAAGAAACGGAACAGACACTTCACAGAAGAAATATGAATGGTCAACAAATACATTAAAAATTTTCAACATCTCTAGCAATTAGAGAAATGCAAATTAAAACTACACTGAGATTTCATCTCACTCCAGCCAGAATAGCAACAATCAAGAATACAATTAATGTATGAAATATGATATGTCAAGAGCTTTGTAATGTTTTGAACAACTAATAATAATAAAAAAAGAATACAATTAACAATTAATGTTGGTGAGTATATAGGTAAAAGAATACATTCATACATTGCTGGTGACACTGCAAACTTGGAATGAAATCACCATTTGACCCAGTTATCCCACTCCCTGGCATATATGCAAAGGACTTAAAATCAGCATACTACAGTGGTATGGCCACATGGATGTTTACAGCAGCTCAATTCATAACAGCTAAGCTATGGAACCAACCTAGGTGCCCTTCAACAGATTTAAGGAATAAAGAAAATGTGGTATGGAAACACAATGGAATAGAACTCAGCCAAAGAAAGAATGACTCTATGACATTTGCCAGAAAATGGATTGGATGGATCTGGAGACAATCATGCTAAGTGAAATAAGCCAATCCCCCCCCCCCCAAACCAAAAGATGAATGTTCTCTTTGATATGTGGATACCAACACACAACAAGGGGTGTGGGATAGAAGTTGAGTAGATTAGACAAAACGGAATGAAGGGAAGGGAGGGAGGCAGGAATAAGAAAGACAGTTGAATCAATCTGACTTAACTTTCCTATGTACATATGTAATACCCCACAGTGAATCTCCACATCATATACAACCACAATTAGATCCTAATTAGAATAAGATATATTCCATGGTTGTATAAATATGTTAAAATATACTCTTCTATCATGTATAACTAAAAAGAACAAATCAAAAGAAAAAAGAAAAACAATTGGATGCTGCTTAGATTCTCTTGTTGTTACATTTACCATTAGTACATGAACTTCAAAGTCCCCTAGCAATGGGATGCTTCTACTTTGTGATAGTGTGTTATAATTGCACTGTCAGTTTTTCAGCAGCCCTGCATAGAAGGCTTTCTTTCTCCTCCAGTGGTAGATTATGAAGATATTTCAGTGTTGAGTTCATGGTGGGGCACAGGAGATCTCGAATCTATTGGTACCAACTCAGCTAAGCCTTACAGGTGTTACTTTTTGGTTTTTCTGCCTCCCACCCCCACCCAAACTGTCTTGTCACTATGGATGGTCCTGAAGAAGTTTTAGCTCCACCTCCAGCTATAATAGATCTTTCCCGCATATCATGTCAAGGTCCTGAGTTCCAATAGGGTTTGATGCCCATACCTTAGGGTAGACAGCTTTTGTTCTTGTCCCACTCCCCAAACAGTAGATCCTACTTAATAAAAACCTATCTAATAATAACATTAAAATATATTAAAAATTTATGTTTGATGGCACAACAATGAGGTACCTTGGCAATAGCAGTCTGTTTAAATATGCGAGTAATCAAGCCCAGAACAGTCTCTGTGCCACCTGGATTTGGAGATCTCATTAATCTTTTCCATTCTTCCAAACTGGTATTCAAATCCTATGTGGGATAAAATAAAATTATTTAGGAATATAGCATAAAGAACATAACAATTAATGTGATCATGAATCATGTCTTACTTCTTTCCTCTTCTGTGTAGAAAAACAAAAGGAAAATTCTTATAGATGCCAATGTGTTCATTTTAAAACATCAATGCAGGGTTAGGGCTGTGGCTCAGTGGTAGAGCGCTTGCTTTGCATGTGTGAGGCACTGGGTTCAATTCTTGGCACCACATAAAAATAAATAAATAAATATACTGTGTTCGTCCAAAATTTTAAAAATATTAAAAAAAAGAAAGATACAAGTGAAAACAAAGTCCTTTGCTAGCTTCATAAATCAACCAATCTTAAGGACAAATATTTTGTAAAGTGAAAATAAAAAGTTAAACACATAGGAAAGCAGGGTGGTTAAAATGTATATGGTTGCAAAATATTCTTACAAAAAGATAAGATTTTATTTAAATAAGCATAAAGATTTAGAGAATAAAAATAAAATATAATCATAAGTTGCTGTATCATTTTATTTTTCTTTCTAATGCTAAAAGTGAAGAAAATTGGATAATTCTTATTTTAGAAATAACACACTGCTCCATATTTGCAAAATGCTTACTTTAAGTTTTCAAGATATAATAAAAGCTCCTTGCCCCGAAAGCCATGTCCAGATTTGCAAAATTTAAAGAATATATAAACATTGCACTCCTCAAAAGTAAATACACATAAGGTTTAGGTAAAACACACTTTTGGCTTTCTGCTATGTTGAATGCTACATCTTACAATATAATTACAGAGTTTGAGGATTTCAAGAGTAGGGTTACACTTACGGTATTCTCAAAGACATCTATTCACACTTTAAAAAAATTCTACAGCAAGAAAAACAATTTTCTTTATTATTGGGTCTCACATTATAGACATTTTGAATTCTTATTGCTAAATCTTTGTTGCAGTTGAAGTACTTTTTTTCTATATTCAGCACAAATATTTTTAATCACTAGGTTACTATATCTGTTCACATATTTGATAACTGAAATTAAATTCTTCCACACTCTTCCTGAAAAGATACAAAATCAATTCATATGCTCTATTAATTAAACCTATTTTAAGAAAGCAGGCTTTTCCTTCTGTGAAATATGTACAATCTTTAATAGTATAATTTAAAATGATTTTACAACAACTTTCAATCAAATGAAGGTTCTCACCTTGGCTGCTTTGTCGGGAAGATCAAATGGAATATGCTGTCTGATTTTAGGGGGCAGCTGGGTTAAAACTTCAGTCTTTAATCTTCTAATCATTATGTCATTTAATAGATGGTGAAGTTCCTTAAGATTTGATGCCCCTCTATAATCCCACTGAGGTCTTTTACCAAAATATCTGTAAATAGAAAGTAAAAACATTTTGCAAAGCTGAATGCTAGAGTAAGAAAACAATTTATCTGATATGTTCTTTTTTCAAAAAAACTGATATTGGGATTCAATCCAGGGGCACTTAACCACTGAGCCATATCCCCAACACTTTTTGAGTCAGGGTTGCACTAAGTTGCTTCAGCCCTTCTAAGTTGCTGAGTCTGCCTTTGAACTTGTGATTCTCCTGCCTCAGACTCCCAAGTCACTGAGATTACAGGTGTGTGCTACCCTACCTGTCTACATTCTTCCTTTTTTTAATGATAACGAGCCATGATGTCGCTTTCACTATTTCTGATGAAAATTAATTTCAAAAAGCTTAATGTAAGAAATGTTAATTAACAAGCTTACATACTACTCAAATATAGAAAAGTTAGTGTCTAAATACTATTTACACTGAGTTAAGGCTGAGATGGACAGGTAATGCAGAATTGGACTATGTCATTGTTTCTAAATGGGGGCATTATTGGCATTTGGTTGGGATTATATATCGAAGTATGTTTAGCAGATCTAGCCCTGAGTGGAAATAAACTGTCAGTACACTAGCCAGTCATTATTATTACTCAAAACATCTCAAACATTTCCCCTACTCTCTATTCATACCAACTATCTCCACTTGAACTGTTAAGCATAGCAGATTACCTGGTATTCTCTTTTTCCTTTGAAACCAATGAACTGACACCAGAGGAATTAAAAACAAACAAAAAAAGACACAAAACTATCATGAAAGAGAGAGTGAGAGAGAAGATATCAGAGGATATGTAACTTAAAGAAATATTTAGAAGGTACAATGTAGATGAACAAGTGGTACTGATGTAGCAAAAGCAAGCAAGCAATAATTTAAAATGCTTGCAAAAGGCAAATTATTCTCTAGATCCCTGAGAAGATCAGGAATTGGAAGTACCAAGTAATGTGAGCAAGTGTTAAGACAAAGATTGTAATCTGGGGAAACTACTGAATTCACATCTGGACAGCTGGCCCCCTATCACTGTGACAACAATTACTACACATAAAATTCCCAATCATCTCTTAGGGGTTTATACTACCCACTATTAAAAATAGCTGTTAAAGAATAAGGAAAAATTCCTGTTAAGTTGTATTATGATTCCTAATACTGATAATTTAAGTAATTATCCATTTTCATGGGGTTTGGGCCTATTTTAGCACAAATAGATCTCAATTTGAGAAAGCTGGAGCTTACAAACATTAAAATATTTTTGTTTAATGTGTCAAACTAAACATACAGGAAAAGTACAATTTACATTAAAAATTATGCTTGCACTGTAGATTTGATTAGAAGACTGTAGTAAATGGATAAAATGTACTGTATGACAAAATGAAAGATACCATTTAGTTGTCATCAACAAGAAATTCATTCGTTTAAAAAAAAAATCTAAGTGCTGCCATTGCACAAAAAGTTTAATGGGTTTATGCACAATCACAATAAACTGAACTGCTGAAACTTTTCCATTAAAATATTTTTACTTCATTAATATTTTATTTCCTCATATTTATATTAAAAATTTTAATGAAAATGGAAAAATACTTGTCAATATCTAATTCCATTACCTATTTTTCCATTCATATACTTAGGAACCTTTTGAATTGCAGTTTAAAAAAATCTAACATTCCAAACTGCCAATAACAGAAAAAAGAGGTTCAGAATTAAAGATCTTCCATTAAAATGGATTCTTAAGCACACTCTTCACTTACACAACATACCCTGCAAGTATGCAATATGCTAGTTTGAGGGTTTTTTTTTTTTTGGCATAATTGTTACATGCTAGCACAGAGCACAAAGGTATCTTAAAACAGATCTACGACTAAGGCCACACCTGCTTTCTGCAGAGCACTTATGTCCTGTGCTTTAGAAGTGCAGATCTGTTTTGTAGTCAGAATACAGTACACAGTTAGGTATGTAAAGATGAGGTTTCTTCACTTCTTAGTAAGCTTCACATTATGGTGAGAAGATTTAACTAGTTGCTCCCTGGGTATTTTACCCATATGTCATAAGCCATACTCTTGGTATTAAATATGGTTTAGAAAAATTATTTCTTGCTACCTTCCACTTCCACCATTTCTCTTTCAGTGGAAACACAGAATGCTAGAGGTAGCATTTACTCTGCTGGCAACACCACATTTGTCGGAATCCCAGTCTCATTTTTGGAGTGTGAAGGGGAAATAACAAGGGCAAGGGGGCTAGAGTGTCACCCCTAAATGGCTGGTCTCTTCCCAACTTTTCTGTCTTGCCACCCAATCCCTAAGCAATCACTAATCTACTTTCTTTTCTTTTTTTTTTTTAATTTTATTATTTATTTGACACATAATAAATGGGGACTAATCTACTTTCTATCTATATTTTCCTTTTCTGAACTTTCATGTGTGAAATCATACATTATGTGGTGTTTTATGACTGCCTTCTTTCAGCTAGCATAGTGTTTTCAAAGTTCATTTATGTGATTGCATAAATTAGTATTTTATTTGTTTTGAAGATTGAATAAAATGCCACTGTATGAATATACCAAAATTTGTTTATTATTTGTCCAATGGTGGACATTTGGGTTGTTTCCCAATTTTGTATTTTATGAATAAAGCTACTACAGACATTCAGGTACAAGTTTGTATGATCATATATTTTCATTTCTTGTGGGTAATGCCTAGTAGTGGAATGACTGGGTCATATGTTAACTCTATGTCTGATCATTTGAGAAAATGCTAAGAATCATTCCAAAGCAGCTGGATTACTTTACATTCTCATTGGCAGTGTATGAGGATTCTAAAATGACTTTCCCATATTATATTGCTGTCAGCACTGCGTAAGGGTTACAATTTCTCCATACCCTTGCCATACTTATTCTCGATGTCTAGCTAATTTAATGAGTGCAAAGTGGTATCTCATGCTTTTGACTTGCATTCCCTGATGACTAATGAAGCCAAGCATTTTTTAATGTGTTTGATGGTCATTTGTTTATCTTTTTTTTTTTTTGAGAAATGTCTTCTCAAATCTTTTGCCCAATTTTTGAATTGTTTCTTTTTATTATTGAATTATAGGAGCAATTCACATATTCTACATATACATTCCTTATCAAATATATGATTTGCAAATATTTTCCCCAATCTGTGGGTGGTGTTTCCATTTTTTTGATGGAATATCTTGAAGTACAAAACTTATTTTGAGCTGGGTGCAGTGGTGTATGCCTGTAATCCCATCTGCTCAGGAGGCTGAGACAGGAAGACCATGAGTTCAGAGCCAGCTTCACTCACCATCTTAGCAAGGCCTTAAGCAACTCAGTGAGACTCAGTCTCTAAATAAAATATAAAAAGGCTGAGGATGTGGCTCAGTGGTTAGGTGCTCTATGGTTCAATCCTCAATACAAAAAAGTTATTAATTTGAATGAAGTGCAATTTGTCTAGTTTTTCTTTTGTTGCTAGTGCTTTTAGTGTCATATCTAAAAATGCCTTAACAAATCCAAAGTATAAAGATTCACTCCTATGTTTTCTCATGAAAACATTTAAAAATGTTTTAAAAACATTGTCTTTACATTTAGCTCTCTGTTCCATTTTGAGTTAACTTTTATATATGGTATGAGGTGAATGTTCAATTTCATTCTTTCTTTGTGGCTATCAAGTTGTCCCAGAACCATTTAAATGCTGTTGTTTTTGTTAAGAATCAGTTAACTGTAAATGAGTTTATTTCTGGACTATTAATTCTATTCCACTGATCTAGATATTTATCTTCATGTAAGGACCACACTCTCTTGATTAGCTCTGCAATCCATCCCTTTAGTCCTGTTTTTCTTTTTACGTTTAGGCTATTCTAGTTCCCTTACAATTCAACTCAACATAAATTTTAGAATTACTTTATTGATTTGTAAAAAGGAAATTGACCAAGATTCTGATAGGGATTGTGTTAAATCTATAAATAAGTTCAGTAATATTATCCTCTTAACAGTCTTTCTATTATATGGACATGGAATGTTTTCCCACTTACACCTATAATTTCTTTCAACAATATTTTATGATTTCAGAGTAAAAGTGTTACACATTTTTATTAAATGTATTTGTAAATATTTTATTATTTTTGATGCTATTGTGAATAAAGTTGTTTTTTTCTTAATTTCATTTTTGGATTATTCATTGAAAGTTTTAGAAATCGAATTGCTTTTTGTATACTGATCTTGTATTCTGTAACTTTGCTGATATTGTTTTTCAGTTCTAAGAGTTTTTTAGTGGATTCCTTAGGATTTTTAATATATAAGACCATGTCTCCTGAAAATACAAGTTACTTCTATTTTTCCAATGAACTCCTTTTATTTATTTAATTTATTTGCCTAATTGCTCTGGCTAAAACTTCTAGTACAATACTGAACAAATGATAGTGGCAATAAGACAGTCTTATCCTGATCTTAGGGGAAAATATTTGGATTTTGACAATTAAGAATTACCATTATCTGTGGGATTTTTGTAAATGCCCTTCATCAGGTTGAGGGAGTTGGTGATTATATTGCTTGTCTAGGTGTGCACAAGGCATCAAGTTTGATCCACAGCAACACACACACAAACAAACACATGCACACACAATTAAAGTAATAGTCCACAGAACATGATAACTGCATATTGGTAGTAAGGTACAGCAGCAATTATACTTCTAAGTTTTAACTTATAGGACTGAATTTTGATCATCCCAGATTGAATCTACTGGGTTAAGAACAGTTTTTAAGGGGAAAATGTAAGTTTGATTTTCAAAATGTTGACTGTTATGTACTTACGCTATATAAGTACAATGAAGATTTCTAGCATGATAATATTGTTGTAATCGATTCAGGCTTTAGGGGAAGTGGTCTGTAGATATAGATGCCATGAGTTTTAAGAGTTAAAGCCAGGAAAAAAGTTGAAACTCGTCAGTAATAAGGGAAGAATGAAAAGGAAAGAAAAGCATTTTGCTTTTGCTATCCTAGGAATAATTTCTAT